TCTTTCACCCTGAATGCCCCTGTTACCTAGCAGTAAATAGGTACCTGGGAGTTAGTCAGCTGTCACGGGCTGCTTCCTGGGGGTGGAGGCCTGGTCGAGGACCGGGCCGCGGGGACACTAAAGCCCCGAAATCATCTCAAGATAACCTCAAGATAACCTAACCATGTTGACGTAGCTGTTCTGTGAGGTTGACAGAGTTATAGTAGTTATCCATATACAGATGATAACCCAGGTGCATTAGGGGCTGAATGAAGCCCATGACTGTCTCCATTGTTGTTTTTACCAATCCCGACATACACCTCAGTCATATATGTAGCCCGATGTTGATTCAGCAAGCATGTACAGTTTTATTCCATACTTATCAGGCTTATTTGGATTATAAACCTTGAAGGATAATCGCCCACACCATGACATTGTTCCTTCATCCAAACTCAATTCTTTCTTGGGAATGTATACTTGTGAAGATTTGCCCGTAAGATATTTTATCACTGTGCGAAGTTTTATCATCTGTCTTTATTGTTCTGGGGAATGGATTTGTTGTTATAACTATGAAAGAATTGGCCAATATGTTGGAATCGTTTCGACGTCATGAAAGTATTGAATGTATGCATATGCCACAGCCGGCTTGTTTGCCAGTACATTCTCATTGTTGGTAATTTTGCAATACCCATCAACATGGCCGGACCCAAATATCGTGCCATTTTCTTTACAATTACTTGTCGCCAAAGACTCATTGCACGCAAGGAAGTATTCCGTAGAAATTGTTCTGCATACAAGTTTGTTTCAATCGTCAAATAATCAATGTACGAGTCAAAAATTATTGTACAAATTGTCTAGGCGTGGTAGGTGTTGGTATACTCAGGCCTGGTGTTCCAGTGAAACTTTCTACAGATGGTGGAGTGGTGTCAGTTCACCAGGCATCATTAGGATTTGTTTGTTGAGTACGTCCTGCACGCATCCGAGCAGGAGGCTGTGGACGTCCCCCGTCCTCCTCCTCAGATACCTCACTCTCCTCACTCTCCCCAACCATTGACTCACCATCATCTGCCATGTCTACATCTGATTGAAATCAGTGTCCTGTTCTTCCTCCTCGACATCTGTATCAATATCAGATAATTCTTGAATCAAACCAGGGATTTTTATTGGTGTAAGCCGAATGTTACAAAATTTCTTGTAGATCAGGGGTCTCCAAACTTGTCAATGTAAGGGCCACATTATATATTTCCCATATTTATGCGGGCCGGAGGAATAAAAAATGAAAAAAAACAAAAAACAAATCAGTGCCAGTAATTTAATTTCCTCAAATATTAAAGTATAAACATGGAAAAATTAAAACATATCTTTTTGGAAAAAATCAGGGTAAACTAAATAGATTCCTGCCTTTAGTTTTATGCAACCAAATTAGTGTGACGAATGATACTGTCGTTTTGACTTCAAAATTTCATTAAAATCAAGTTCCAGATTAGATGAGCCAATTGTAAGAATTGATTTCAAGTGATCATCAGACAAATTTGCTCGATAGTTAGATTTCACATACTTCATTTTGGAAAAAGTTTGTTCACACAAGTATGTTGAGCCAAAATGGACACAAAACTACAAGCAAACTTTATCAAATTTGGAAACTGATCTGGCTGCAGGCATTTATAAAACTCAATCAGATTTCCTTCTCTATACTTATCTTTCAGTCTGTCATCTGCCTGGAGATCAATAATTTCCATTTGAAATTGAGTTGGAAGATTTTCAGCATTGCAGTCAAATGGATTATGAAAGAGCCTGATTTCATTTGCTTTGGCATCAAGGTCAGCAAATCGCTTCTGAAACTGTTTTTTCAAATCTGAAATTATTTCATTTGCAAATGAAAAAGGAAATTCAACTTTACTTTCTGCATGAAATTTTTCACAACATGGAAAATGAGCAAAATTCTTAACCTTCACCTGGCCTTCAAGTAGCGCAAGTTTTGCTCTGAATGCCTTGACATGAACAAAGTAGTCACTGATCAAATTTGTTTTGCCTTGCAATTTCAGATTCAAGTTATTCATATGACCTGTCATATCTGCAAAAAATGCCAATTTCCAAATCCATTCACATTCTGATAATAATGGCTGAGGTTTATTTTTCTCTGTGAGAAATAAATCAATTTCTAATCTGAGCTCAAAGAAATGCAGCAAAACCTTTCCACAACTAAGCCATCTAACTGCTGTATAATAAGGCAAGTTAACAAACTCCGCATCAATTTCTTTCAAGAAATCACGGAACTGGCGATGGTTGAGTGCATGAGATCTAATGAAATTAACCACAGAAACAACAGGTTTCATGACACAAGACATATCAACATATTTTAGGCACAATGCTTGTTGATGGATAAGGCAATGCAGAAAAATGGGTTTTGAGAATCCTCCAACCTCACAAGCTGTTGTAATTTGCCCAACCAAACCCTTCTTTGTCCCAGACATATTCTTTCCTCCATCAATTGTCACACACTGCACTTGTTTCCATTCCAGGTTATATTCTGTCATAGTTTTACTTACTTCATTGAAAATGTCCTCTCCAGTTGTTGTGGTGTGCATGCTGTGAACTTTCAGATTTTTTCTTACTGAAAACAGCTTGTTGAGAATGCAGACTGTGCTGAAATGATTCAAACTTTTTAGTGCATTCTGCTCCTGTGATGTGAGAATAACTTGAGCCATGTTTAGATTCATAGTGCCGACGAATATTGTATTCCTTCAGAACAGCAACACTGTCTCTACATATTATGCATAAAGCTTTATCATTTGCTATCACAAAAAAGTACTTTATCTTCCATTCGTCATTGAACCGACGGCACTCACTGTCCACTTTTCTTTTCTTTATCTTTTCCATATCTGAAAACATAAGGGTAAAATAAATTAAATAAATTCTACAGGAAAAAAACAGCTTGTATGTGGTGTTAAAAAGCATAGCATATTATTATAAAGTGGTAAATATTATGGTAACAGCTTTCGTTGATAAACTTAATGGTTACCATTTTAACTATTTTAAACATGCAATATTTTTGGCTACAATAGTATTATTGCTATTTTGTATAACTAAGATAAAGGCATTGTCAAAGTACAGAGAAAAGAATATTGTACAGTGTTTGTGCTCCCTGAAACGGAAGCAGCGAAGCCCCACTCGCCCTCCATCCCCACAATATACAGTTATACACAACTGATTGGTTGTAATGCACAACACATACCTACCAGTATTAGTATCTGTGCGTCACACTATCGAGAGAGAGGAAAACTGACTCGGGTTGAGCGCCACCAGTCAGCAGCCCCAGCTTTGAATAATTCTGCGATGCCATTCGTACGATAATTATTTTTTCAAGGCCACCACACAGGGATTTGTTTGGAGGGCCGGATGAAATTATGTGGCGGGCCGGATGTGGCCCGCGGGCCATAGTTTGGAGACCCCTGTTGTAGAGCATACTTATTCTATCCTCTTTGGTTGATTTCTTCACTGTTGATTTCTTCATTCGGCGTGGAACTGCTCTGCCCTGGACCCTGATCCATCGTGTAACGTATATAATGTGTGTGGAAGACACGCGAACCAATATAAATGCCGATAATAACCGAGATTTGCACAAGTTCGGGACGTGAGCCAGCGGCGCTCCGGTCACGAGCGTGATAAATAAAGCACTATGCCTACCACATGGCCTGACGACCCAGAATGCCATGCGGCATATGGAGGAGAGTGGGAAGACAATGGCGTTCATTTTGAAACCACCTAGAAGTTGATCGGTTTAAAATTTAATTTTTTACAAATATTTTAATGGATGATGACAGGATAGTCATCGGATTACATTAAGGAGAAAAACTTATGACGCTAATAGGCATCATCGGAGAGCAAAAGTGTTAAATTAATGTAGTCTTTGGTGAAGTAGTTCCGGGAAGTCATAGGGGCTCCCCCCAGAAAACCAGCGTTGAATGTAATGAAACGCCATTTTCTGGGTGGGTCCTAGAGGCTCCCTGGGGACCCTACCTCTGATCGGCGGTTTTTCGGGTATTTGGATATCCAGCCTCAGAACTTCGGTGTGGATCGCCGGCTCGGGGGTCTGGGGCTCCCCCTTTCCCCTCCCGGGGAGGGGACAGCTGCGCAGACATGTGGTGCGGCTCGTGCGACGCCATGTTTGTTTGTTCGTTTTCAATTGGGGAGTTCTGTCCACTCGTTTGTCTATTTTTATCATTATTACCCAGAATAAGGGTTTATTTTGGGGCGCTTACCTTTCTGGGTGCCTGTCCCAGTCGATGGCAGATAAAGAATGCTCCAAAATCACATGTGCATTTCTATAGGCCATTGCTCCTCATGCCTCTCTGAGAGGGCCAGGTTCTGGCTCGTGGTCCTCGGTAGGCCTAGAACTCCACCCACATCGACTGATGCCAAAGTTAGGGATATCCATATCAGCCTGAATAGCTCCTGAGAGCCTCCGTGACTCACCCAGGAAATGGCGTTTCATTACATTCAACGCTGGGTTTTTTCTTAGTTTTTACTGAAATGAATTGTTCTAACAAATTCTTGGTTATTCTATACAATACAGATTGTAGGTCCCTTGACTTGCTCCCCATCCCCCAGACAATCCTCCTGACTCGACACTTCATACCCTGAAACCACCCACCCCCAGCACGTCCCAAACCCAGTGCCTTGAGCCACTGCTGTACTGTACAGGATTAATACAGAATGGCCTGATGTCTGTCTGCAGTATCCAGGCAAATCTCGGGGTTTCTGGATTTCTGCTCTTAGAATCTATGCCAGTCTTCACTATCCGGCAAAATCTCTGGTTATCTGAATTGCTATTTGTACACGGCGAAGTTTTGACAGAAAATTATCTGGCTACAATTTTTGGCAGATAACCCAAATGCTGTATTTGGATCAGTGGGCTTCAGATAAGCGGGCTCATGCAATACTTATATGATATTTTTCTGTACTTTTTGTTGTCTATTTTTTAAACAAATTTTTACAATGGAGACCTTTAATGTTTACAGATTAGAAGAACATTCTTTTCCTTGGCGTTCTGTGATAACTGTCGAAGACTTCTATTTCACGGGTTTGTGTGTCGCACATGTGGCTATCGTTTTCATCAGAGATGTTCTGTAGGAGTACCAACATTATGCCAACAGGATCAACGCATTACCAACAATATTTACCAACAGTAAGTTTTGTATAACTGTTTTTATATAAATCTAAATGTGTGTGTTTCATCTATAATTCCTGTTTGCTATGCCCAGGTATGAAACTCGAGGTGAATTAATTTAACCAAGAAATAAAAGCAGTTTTATCAGAATACAGGTAGCAAGATTTCATTAGTCTCATAGATACCCATGTTCATGTTGCATAGGAATCTATAATCAGTGGTAAAATGGTTTTGCACACTGGAATGTAGTTGAATGTATAGAAGATTTTTAGTATAAGAAGTCCTTATGAGGCAGTTATGTTGGGAATGAAGCTGAACCCTCTGCAATTGTGGTATAATGTTTTAAATCTTAATAGATTGCTAAATATTTATGTGTTCAAATATTCGTTAAAAAATTTCTACTTTACCCTAGCCAACTGAAATAAATATTGAAATAACATAGTAGACATCAGGTTCTGTATGGTGGGATGTAATGTCGTTACTTCTTGATGGGGTAAAAATTAAGTGCATTTTCTGGGGGGGAAACTGCTTGTATCTCCCTGAAGCTACACTGTTGATATAGTGCCAAATTACTAGATGCCATCAGTCTCAGAGTTCTTATGGGCATACTGAGAACCACGAGCCAGAACCTGGTCACTTCTTAAAAGGTGCAGAGAGTAGTGGCAATATGATAAAATTGTCAGTGAATTTTAGTCATGTCCGCCACCTCTGGGAAAACACCCACAAGATCGGTGAAAGAAAACAGACCACTGCCAGTTATACGAAATCTCAAAATTGCCTAAAGATCTCCTTAACAGTGTAAACAGGTGTTCTTTAACCTGTGGTTGGGTGGACCGACACCGATCCTTGGAAATTTCTTGGCAGTGTGCGAAAATTGTCGCCTGAATAATGTAACCTCTACATGATTCAGGTGCAACATTGTTGCCGTGTGGTGTTGCAGTGGACACTGTATGAGAGTATGGACTCGGCACCACCACCATCTCCTTTTCCATGCAGAAATGAGACGGATATCTTGAGGTTATCTTGAGACGATTTCGGGGCTTTTAGTATCCCCGTGGCTCGGTCCTCGACCAGGCCTCCACCCCCAGGAAGCAGCCCGTGACAGCTGACTAACACCCAGGTACCTATTTTACTGCTAGGTAACAGGGGCATAGGGTGAAAGAATTTCTGCCCATTGTTTCTCGCTGGCACCTGGGATCGAACCTGGGACCACAGGATCACAAGTCCAGCGTGCTGTCCGCTCGGCCAACCGGCTCCTTCCCTCGGTTATCGAGAGGAAGTGTCCTTGCAAACTTTTTCCAACTGAGAGAAGAAGTAAAGTGGTTTCTGCAAGAGCAGAAATCTGACCTAGTAAAGCCTTTGTTGAATGAGGAATGGATGGGTAGGCTGGCATATATGGCAGACATAGTTAGCCTTCTTATCAAACATAATATTTCTCTTCAGGAGTCTTGTACAAATATTTTTACGCTGAGAAATATAATGGATACATTTAAATAGAAGCTGGGTCTTTGGGATAGTCACATACAAGAGGAAGATATAGAAATGTTTCCACATTTGAGAGAATTTTTTATTTCTGCTGATGTCAACTAGAAAGTCATATTCAACTTTTTAAGTCAACATTTAAGAGTGTTAGCTGAATGCTAATAATTATTTTCCTGAAAATGAGGATCCTCATAAAGGTAATCTCTGGATTAATAATCTCTTCTGGAAGGTATAAAATCGTGCACATTTGATTCTTGTGAAAAAGAGAAGCTGATCGAGTTGTCTTCTGATGTCACTCTGGTGTCCAGACATAATATGCAATCATTGTCTGAATTTTGGACGTCACTCGAAAAAGAATATCCATATCTCGAGTTATAAAGTAATCAAGTTGTTGGTAATTTTTCTTGTCTTTCTATTTGTGTAACTACCTAAGTGTAATTACCTAAGCATAGTTACAGAATGAGAGCAATAGTCGTGGTGTCCCATCTTCCCAGCACTCTGTCATATAACGCTTTGAAACTACTGACGGTCTTGGCCTCCACCACCTTCTCACCTTACTTGTTTCAACCGTCTGCCACTCGGTTTGCGAAAGTGAATTTTCTTATATTTCTCCAGCAGCTTTGTTTAGTTAGTTTAAATCTATGACCTCTTGTCCTTGAAGTTCCAGGTCTCAGGAATTTTTCCCTATCAATTTTATTGATTCCTTTTACTATTTTGTACGTAGTGATCATATCTCTTCTTTTTCTTCTTTCTTCTAGTTTTGGCATATTTAATGCCTCTAAACTCTCCTCGTAGCTCTTGTCCTTCAGTTCTGGAAGCCACTTAGTGGCATGTCTTTGCACCTTTTTCAGTTTGTTGATGTGTTTCTTTAGATACGGGCACCATACAACTGCTGGATGTTCCAGCTTCGGTCTAACATTTTTCCATCCATGTATATAAAAGCAATTCTGAAGTTAGAAAGTGTGGCATAGGCTCCTTACACAGTGTTCTTAATATGATCCCCAGGTGATAGTTTTCTGTCTTACCTTGAGGTGCTTCTGGGGCATGAGCGTCCCCACGGCCCGGTTATCAACCAGGCCTCTTGGTTGCTGGACTGGTCAACCAGGCTGTTGGACGCGGCTGCTCGCAGCCTGATGTACGAATCACAGCCTGGTTGATCAGGTATCCTTTGGAGGTGCTTGTCCAGTTCTCTCTTGAACACTGTGAGGGGTTGACCAGTTATGCCCCTTATGTGTATTGGAAACATGTTGAACAGTCTAGGGCCTCTGATGTTGATAGAGTTCTCTCTCAGAGTACCTGTTGCACCTCTGCTTTTCAACGGGGTATTCTGCACATCCTGCTATGCCTCCTGGTCTCATGTGATGTCATTTCTGTGTGCAGGTTTGGGTCCAGCCCCTCTGATATCTACCTCGTATAAATAATTATGTATTTCTCCCACCTGCGCTCAAGAAAATACAGATTTAGGCTCTTTAGTCAGTCCCAGTAGTTTAGATGTTTTACTGAGTGGATTCTTGCAGTAAAGGATCTCTGCACGCTCTCCAGGTCAGCAATTTCTCCAGCTTTGAAAGGGGCTGTCACTGTGCACCAGTTCTCCTCTCTAGAGCACTAGCGTCTTGAAAAGTATCATCATTTGTATAGCATCTCTAGTGTGAATGGTTCTTGTTATCCAACCTGTCATTATTCTTGCAGTTGTGATGGCTACTTTATTGAGTTTTTTGAAGGTAAGGTCTTCCGACATGAGTACACCCAGATCCTTTACATTGCCTTTTCGTTCTATGTTATGATTTGACTGAGTTTTGTACGTGGTTTCCGTTTTTTATATTTTAATTTTTTCCCTAGTGCATGAACTGGAACTTATCTTCGTTAAACATCATATTATTTTCTGTAGCCCATAGAAAGACCTGATTTACGTCTGAGTGTAATTTTGCCGTGTCCTCTATGTTGTTTACTCTCATGAAAATCCTAATGTCACCTGCAAAGGATGATACAGTACTATAGATTGTGTCCTTGTCTGTGTCCGATATGAGGGTGAGAAAAAGTACTGGAGCAAGCACAGTACCCTGGGGAACTGAGCTCTTCATGGTTGATGGACCGGATTTTATTTTATTGACTATTACACATAGGGTTCTCTTAGTCAGGAAATTGTAGATCCATCTGCCTATTTTTCTGGTAATTCCTTTTGCATGCATTTTATGTGCAATAACACCATAGTCACATTTGTCAAAGGCTTTTGCGAAATCTGTGTAAATTAGATCAGCGTTTTGTTTGTCTTCCATGGCATCTAATGCCATGTCATAGTGGTCCAGCAACTGTGACAGGCAAGAGCACCCTGTTCTGAAACAATGTTGTCCAGGGTTATGGAGATGCTGTGATTCCATGTATTTTGTGATCTTACTTCTTAGCACTCTGTCAAAGATTTTTATGATGTGCGATGTTAGTGCTATCGGTCTGTAATTTTTTGCCTCTGCCTTATTACCTCCTTTATGGAGTGGTGCTATCTCTGCTTTGTCTCCAAAGAATGTGAAGGGCCTGCAATAGTGATTTTCTGGGGGGAGCCCCTACGGCTCCCTGAAGCTTACTAGGCTGATATGCTAATGTCAGACTTTGGCATCAGTTATGTGTACGGAGTTCTTATGGTCCTACCGGGGACCACGAGCCAGAACCTGGCCCCCCTCTAGATAGGTAAGGGAAGCAATGGCCTATAGAAACCCCTGTGTAGTTGGAAGCATTCTATGTCTGCCATCAACCGGGTTAGGCGTCCCAAAACAAACCCCTATTCTGGTGAAAATTGAGGGATGATGAAACTCTCATTCTGTCCGCTCCGCCAAGTCCTTCCCCTTCTGTAGTGTATACTTCCTTCCCTCTTGCTTCTGGCTCCGAACCGTTGGCAGGTTTCAGAGTCGGGGCTGGGTCTAGATGGGTTGAGACTCGGGCGGTCTCGGGGGTTTCTTCTTCCGAGGTGGCGGCAGAGGCATTCAATCCTGTTCCTCCAGCCGTGCTGTATGGGTCTGACCAGTGTGCTCCCTTTCTTAGTGTTTTTTACGGCTGCCCCAGCTTTTTCTTGTGAGGCCGAGGCTTTGGGGGGTACGGCTTGGCCCCGGGTCCTGCTGTGGAGGTTCTCAGGGTTGGGGAGGGGTTGCCGGGGGGGGCTAGGCCCCGCTTGCTCCGCTTGGGTTTTTGTGCTTTCGGAGTGGGGCTTGCAGTTCCTCTGAGTAGGGTTTTTCCTTCCCCTCTGCGTTTGTGTTGGTTTCGGGCCTACCCCTCCCCGGGTTCGGTTCTGTGTCCCTTTGGGTCCATCGGTTCCGTCATTCCTGTGGGAATGACGTCACCTCTTCACATTCACCTCTTTCCACACCTTTTCTCTTGGACATGTACTTTTCTCCATGTCGTGATATTGTTCCCATTGTATCGGGATCCCTGCATGTCCCTTGGTCAAGGGTGCCTTTGGGTCCATATGTGTCTCCGTGCATTTGTGCTTGCTTCTCACGGTTCTCGTTGGTTCGCGTAATTCTTCGATACTTCCAATATTATTGGATCGTCTGTTGACTTTTGGTGAGGCTTCCCTCTCATCCTTTCTCGGACTCGTTGGTCCTCTTCTGTACTTCTTGTCTTCTTGCAGTTTTATTTTCGCATTATTTTGTATTCACGTTGTCTCTCCTTCCTGTCTCGACATTCCTATTATTTGTTACATACGCCTTGCTGGCGCCCTCCCCGGAAGACAGGTGTGCGGTTTGGGCCTCAGGCGTAGGGGCTGGAGTGTTTTTGTTTTGGGCGATGTTTGCGTGTGTTGGTGTTCCGTGTCCTTTCTCGCAGATTATACGCCATTCTCGCTCCTCTTCTCTCCAGTCATAACCTCCCTGGATACTCGGGGGTGTTCTGTGTTTTATATGTGGGGCAATTACCTTGTTCTTTTCTTTGTTTGTGGTGTGGGGTGGTTCTGAGAGGAGCCTTCTCCACCTGTGTACTGCATGCACCTCGTCTTCTCCTACTGGGCGCGCACCTGAACTTTCTCAACTAGTGATGCTCCTGGTACATTGCACGGCTCGGCTGTGTTGTGACATGGGCATGTGTCTGTTCTGCAGGTGAGATTGTACTGTCTGGTGACTCTGTTGACCAGGCTCTGGTTCTTTCTTTTTGGTGGGGTGTTAGGTGTTGCTGTGTGTTTTGCTTGGCCACTTTGCATGCGTCTTAGTGTGACTTTACTTTCTCTGTGTATGTTGTTCTTAGTTTTACTGTGAGGCGCAGCTCTGAATTTTGGTGCCTTTTGTTTAGTCTTTCAGCGCCTGGGTCTTTTCTCGATATCCATGGAGCCCCCTCTGTGTATGTACAACAAACCTCAACACACGATGTGGTTGGTCGTGTACATTGCATTGCCGGCTGCTGTTTGGATCTTTGTTGTTCGTCATGTTCGTTGTACTCTCTTGTCCCTATCTGCCAGTGCTTGGACTGTAATTCGGGTCTTTTCCTTGTCTATTTCCGTTTTCTTCCCTCTATGCTACACACGGTTGTGTATCTTGGTCGGTGCTTATTGGCTATACTGATGTTAGGTGCTGGGGTGAGCTTCTGTCCATGTTCAGTTTCCTGATTTTGGACTACCCCAGTGTTCAGTTATGGAACTGTGTTCTTTCCTTTTTTCCTTGTTTCTCACTGTCAGCTTCGGTGTTACAATGTCTGCGGGTGGTTGTAGACTTCCGATCAACAACTCCTGCTCTTTCGGTTCCTTTTCTTTGGGACAGGAGGAACAAAGATTCCAGTCCTGGCTATGGTTTTTCTTTGTTCCTTTTCCGGAACGTACATTTTTGTCTTCCTGTGGTACACGTCCTGAGTAGTTCTCCTCCTTATACCTTGGAGATGCAGGCATCGTTCTTCCCTGCTGGAGCTGGTTGCACTGCTCCTGCGGGTTGCGGGGTCCCTGTTTTTTGCTTCGCATCTCGCACTTTAGTTTGTGGTGCTCGTTTTCCTCGTTGGCCTCTGCCTGGGTCCTGGGGAGGGTTCCTCCCGGATGGGGCGTGTCTGCTCACCCAGGTTGGTTCCTTCCTGGCTCGCCGGGATTGGGTTCCTTGTTTTCCTGATGGCCGTTCCTTCTGGTTCTTTGCCAGCCTTGCTTGAGGCGCTGCTTGGCTCGATTCCATTCCTGAAGGTCTTCTTGCGGCTCCGCCTCTTTTTGCGGATCGGTCCAGCCCTGTACGAGGCTGGTTCGTTCTTCCCCTCGAGTCTTTGCATCTCGGGTTTTTGTCTCGAGTTTCTCGTCGCTTGTGTCGGCACTGGTGGTTCGTTGTTGGTCTCCCAACTGCGTGCTTTGTCTCGGCGGCAGTGTGTAGTTTCCTGGTGGTCCTTCCGGTTTTCCTATCACTGCGAAGGGTTCTTTGGTCTCTGATGAGGGTTGTCTTGTCTTTCCCTTCGGGGTTGTTCTGGGACCGTCGTCTGGTGCCATATACAGTCGCCTCATATCGGATGGCGCTGGCGGGTCCGCTCCAGCTTGCATTCGGTGTTGCTGTTCCTTCTGCTCCGTTCTGCTTGCTGTCTAGTGCATTGTTTCACCTCCGGCCTGCACATGTGCTTCTGCTGCCGTCCTGGTCGTTGGCCCAGGTGGTATTGACTCTGGGGGTCGTGTCTGGGAGTTTCTGGCTCTCCTCCGGTGCCTATGTTTTTTCCTGCCTCGTTTGGTCCTAGTGGTAGGTTGTTTGTTTGCTGCAGTCTCCTTCTTTTCAGGTGGTTTGGGTCTGCTGTTTTCTGGAGGGGTTCTTAGGTTGCTGCTTGGTTGGTCAGGCCAGGGGTGCTTAATTTGTTGTGTTCAGTTGTGGCGCTTCGCTGTTCTCTGCGTATCTTGGCCTCTGGGGCCGTGGGCGCATTTTGGTTTGCCCGGGTTCCCTTCCTTCTTGATCTGGGGTTTGGGTTTCCCGGGGTGGATTGCAGGATCCTTTGGTTTGGTCTGTGGTCTTGTTTGTGGATTAGGACGCGTGGCATCTGCCTCCCGGTTCCTTCCATCGTTTTCCTTATTTTTGGTGAGGTAGTTCCGGGGAGCCGACAGGGCTACCCCCAGAAAACCAGCGTTGAATGTAATGAAACGCCATTTTCTGGGCGAGTCTCAGAGGCTTCCCGGCATCCCTCCCTCCCTCTGGTTAGCGGTGTTTTTCACATATTTTTTTATCCAGCCTAAGAACTGCCGGTTGGATTGCTGGCGCGGGGGGTCTGAGGCTTCCCCATCCCCCTCCCGGGGAGGAGGGGTTCTGTAGACGGCGGCGCGGTGATGTGATAATGTCATGCTAGTTTGCTAATTTTGTTTGGGGAGTTCTGTCCACTCGTTCGACTTTCGGTCGCAATATTTTTACCAGAATAGGGGTTTGTTTTGAGCCGCCTACCTTTCTGGGTGCCTGTCCCAGTTGATGGCAAACATAGAATGCTTCCAACCACAGGGGGGTTTTCTATAGACCATTGCTCCTCGTGCCTCTCTGAGGGGGGCCAGGTTCTGGCTCATGGTCCCCGGTAGGCAAGAACTCCAAGCACATTGACTGATGCCATAAAGTTATACATATCCATTCAGCCTGGATAGCTCCGGGGAGCCTCCGGGACTCAGCCAGAAAATAGCGTTTCATTACATTCATCGCTGTTTTTTTAAAAAACCTGACAAACATTGATGAATATAAATAAATTGCATAAAATGATAATGACACTGATCACAATAGTGCTGAAAAACTACAAAGAAAGGAAAGAAATATATATATATATATTTTTTATTTTATTTATTTTATTTTCAGTTTATTAGCATCTCATCAAGATAACCCAGCAGGAATATTAACAACCACGAGTTGGGGTGGTCCTCCAGGTGTCCAACATCCTCTCTTGGGCCCATACAATAGTCAGTACACAAGTCCCTATGGTGGCCATTATATGGAAGGTTATCGGAATCAGTATCCTGTACAATGTGTTGGTGGGGGTGGAGGAGGGCAGGCACCACCCACCCTTCCCCGACCTGCCCCAGCACCTCTGGCTCCCCGCGACCGCTCCTCCTCCGCACCCAATGTTTGCATCAACTTGGTCAACCCTAGCAACCCTTCAGATGCTGCATCTCTAGCCGAATTTGCACATAGGATGGGCAGGAATTACAATCCTACAAGTCCAGGTTTGTAATTTACTTTATGTTTAGCATATTGTAATAATACTGATACTAACGAAGCTCAAGCAAGGTTTGAAAGTCCTGTAGTTGCAACATAAATTTTGCAGTAAAATCAGAATGTTAAATTCATGACCAGTATGCTAAATGTAAGAAGATAATTTGCAAAATGAATACTGATTAGTTGACTCATTAAGAGTTATTTTTCAGTTATGTACTGCAATTTCATAGTGTTGTCATGCTGAAACAGATAAGTTAGACCCTAGGCCTTCTATTGCCAGGGCAGTCCTAATGCAGTGAGACATTTGTCATTTATGCTAATTTTGTTCCACAATTTTTTTTTTATTAGTGCAAATAACATAATACATATTTTTGTATCTGTATTTTGATACCTATATTGCATGGAACAAGTACTGTGCATTTTTTAAATACAGGTATAAATATTTTTTCTGGGGCTTGTGGCATCTTGTGCTTTCGAACCACCCTTGTGGCTTCCTGAAGCTACTATACTGATGTACTGTACAGTAGTACTAGACTACTAGGTGCCATCAGTCATGGAATTCATATTGGCCTACCAGAGACCACAAGTCAGAGAGGCGCAGGGAATGGTGGCACTATGAAAATTTTATGTAGATTTATTTATGTCAGCCACGACCAAGGGAGGCACCCAGAAAGTCAGCGAACCAAAACAGAGCAATGCTTGGTTAGAAAACTAGACCTCAGTCTCAAAACAGCCAAAAGAATGTCCCCCTAACAATGGATTTAAAATTTGTGAAACAAGCATGAGCTAATGAACAAATCCACTAGGGGCCGTGACGAGGGTTTGAACCTACGTTCTAGAGGATCCCAGACGCTTCCTTAATCGACTGAGCTACGACATGGTTAAAAGAATTGCAACCGGGAAATCATCCTGATTTGAGGTCTCGGATGTAGGTTTGAACCCTCGTCACGGCCCTTGTGAATTTGTTCATTTGATGCATCACGCTATTGTGATTTCTATGTGTAGCATGAGCTAGTTAACCCCACCACCCTCCCTCATTTTGGGGGATGAGGGATGCTTTTCTTTCTGGGTGCCTTCCTTCCCTTGGTGGTGGCTGACACGAATAAATTTACATAAAAATTTTCATTGAGCCACTGCTTCGTGCGTGCCTCTGAGGGGGCCAGGTCCCCAGTATGCCAATAAAAACACCACGACTGATGGCACCTTGTAGTCAGGCACTATATCAGTATACTGTAGTAATTTCAGGAAGCCGCAGGGGCTCACCCAGAAATTGGTGTTTCATTACATTGAATGCTGATTTTTTCTTTTATTTGGATCACAATTCCTAATTTGTTTTTCACTCATTTATCCAAACACCTAATCTGGATAATCAAGCTACGACCAGATCATGCGTCTTCAATTGCATCCATAAAATGTTAAACAGAATTCTGTTTCAGTGAGACACCACTGTGATTTAGTATACTGTACATGTAATTGCTTGATAGCTAATCAAAGAAATTCAACATTGCAACCTGTGTATATTATATTTTGCTTTTCTATAATTATTTATATTATTATTATTTCAGTTCATAGTTAAATTTGATATCAACTTGAAATTTTTGGCCATGAAGTTTTGCTAGAGATATAAAGGAACATAATATATGTATAGGAAAGTGGGAATGAATGAATGCAGGAAATACCCCTGGCAGTATAACAATGATAGAAAATACTGAAGAATTGTTAGTTGTTGAAAAAGGGCATGAAAGATGAGAGTGCTGTGCAACAATGTAGCACTGTATGTAATGGTGGCACTATACTGGTAAAAAGGATACCTGCTAGATGATATTAGATGGTTAGGTCAAACTATTGATAAGATAGATACGTATGAGTGAGGTGGAGGTGTTGTGGAAGTGTTTGTCATTATAAATGAAGAGTGCTGTATGTGTCAATTGAATCAACACATACATATACTGTACATATACATACATATATATATATATATATATATATATATATATATATATATATATATATATATATATATATATATATATATATATATATATATATATATATATATATATATATATATATATATATATATATATATATATATATATATATATATATATATATATATATATATATATATATATATATATATATATATATATATATATATATATATAAATATATATAAATATATATAAATATATATAAATATATATAAATATATATAAATATATATATATATATATATATATATATATATATATATATATATATATATATATATATTATTAAATATGACCGAAAAAGTAAGATTAATAATTCTAACACGAATTTTCTCAATCTTTCGTACATTATGCTTCACTGTTGGAGGTAAATCAAAAATCACTTCTCCAAAATTCATTTTTATTTCTAGTCTGACGCGACACGGGCGCGTTTCGTAAAACTTATTACATTTTCAAAGACTTCACAAATACACAACTGATTAGAACTTGCGTTTCCCTGATTTTATATCTACATTTGAGTGAGGTGGGAAGGGTGATGTGGCATTACATTTGGGTGAGGTGGGAAGGATGATGTGGCATTAGAGGATATTAATAGGGTATTAAAAGTATCAACACAAGACAGAACACGAAACAATGGATATTGAATAGAAGTGTTTGTAGAAAGCCTATTGGTCCATATTTCTTGATGCTTCTATATTGGAGCGGAGTCTTGAGGTGGGTAGAATATAGTTGTGTATCACAACTATATTCTACCCACCTCAAGACTCCGCTCCAATATAGAAGCATCAAGAAATATGGACCAATAGGCTTTCTACAAACACTTCTATTCAATATCCATTGTTTCGTGTTCTGTCTTGTGTTGATACTTTTAATACCCTATTAATATCCTCTAATGCCACATCATCCTTCCCACCTCACTCAAATGTAATGCCACATCACCCTTCCCACCTCACTCAAATGTAGATATAAAATCAGGGAAACGCAAGTTCTAATCAGTTGTGTATTTGTGAAGTCTTTGAAAATGTAATAAGTTTTACGAAACGCGCCCGTGTCGCGTCAGACTAGAAATAAAAATGAATTTTGGAGAAGTGATTTTTGATTTACCTCCAACAGTGAAGCATAATGTACGAAAGATTGAGAAAATTCGTGTTAGAATTATTAATCTTACTTTTTCGGTCATATTTAATAAAATATGTCTACAGGAAAGACTGCTACCAAAATATACTAATATATATATATATATATATATCATCGACATTGTTTATATATTGCCTTATGCAGTGATGGGAGTGTGTGTGTGTGTGTGTGTGTGTGTGTGTTGACGAGGGTAGATTCTAGGTGAGTAAGCTGGGTTTGAAAAGTCCTAGTTTTTGGAGATTTATTTTAATGACCAAATGTAGTAATGCTTGTCAGTAAAGATTCGACTAAACTTCAGCTCCCTGCATGTAGTCGTTTCTTTTATCGAGCTTCTCAATAAGCTGATGCTTTTATTTCCTACATTCTGTTTGTGTTAATATATGGAACTTTTTCTCTTTGTTATATTTGTAATACTTACTGCCTCTTCATACTCAAAAGCAGAATAATATAATTTACAAATGTTCAAGTTTTGATGGAAACATTTGTTAAATTTGTTGAGAGTACTGCATGTGTGTACAATGTGTGTATGTGTGTGTGTATAAGAGGTCAACCTTGGAACTCTTGGTGTTTGTTAGTCTTGTAGTCATGGATGCTATTTTGTGTAGGTCACCTGTCACACTGTTGTCATGACTGTTCATTGAGGAGTTCCCAGTGGTCATTGTTTGTAGATCCATTGGCTAAAAACTTGGTGAAGGTGTAGCCTTGGGTAGTCCCATTTATATCATATATCATACCCAAGATATGAAGAGCTGACTGAAGCCTTTCCAAAATGCTGCTTATTTCCCAACTATACCAGGTACTATATAGTCATAATGGCTTGGTGCTCTCTTCCCCCTCATAATTCCTTCCTTGCCAACTATATATTCTATATACAGTACTGTAGCATGGAAATATAATTAACCTCAATATTATTTCCTAAGATAGAGATAGGTGGCCTCTGTTGTCTAAGGAAACACCATTTTACTATTGTATATGGAATAATTTTTTCCCAGGGAAAATTTACTTGATCAGTATCAAGTAAAGTATTGTATAGATTCAGTATTGTATAAAGTATTGTATCAGTATTGTATAGACTCAGTGTATTCAATCATTGCTGCTCTATTGCCTTCAGGAAATTAACTTCTTTTAAATAATCTTCTCATAAAGAATGCCTCCTAAATATTTATACCGCCTATAAATGTCGACCTTTGAAGGAGCCTCTGAAACATTTGCTAAAGAATATCTCATTTTTGTTTTCTTATAACACAAGTAATGAATTCATCACTTCCTTGCCCCGAGAAACAATAATGCAAGGAAACAATGAGAATGATCTTGGCAAACATATACCAGGTGTAGACATATGGAATGAATAAGAATTCATAGAATGGAGCAGGCAGAGGGAATATGTAGGAATGTCATCAGCAAGTGTACAATAGGGGCAAGTAAAATAATGGATGTGATTTGTCACTACAGGCATATAATGGGGCAAGTAGAAGGTAATGATGAGAATTATCTTAGCAAGCACATAATAGCAATAGGCAGAATGAATGAAAAAATACTAAAAATTGAAAAGCAGCTGTGAAGAAAAAGGTAAACAACATTTAGTGAAAATGTGATGTGAAAGAAGTGCAGGAGACTGCTGCAGGGCTCTGCATGCATGTCACTGTAGCCAAGAATACACACTTCGGTTTGGTGTCATTGTCTGCCACAAATTTCCATTTGCACTATAAGTTTGGTGCTTAGAGATTGGAACACTGACAAACTGGAAAGCTCCAGTGCTTGACCTAGAGCCTAAAAATATCATAATACAGTAATAATAATAGGTTATTAATGTATAATGCTTTTGTCTCCATAAATGTTGTGGAGTGCATGGAATTAGGTGTGATGTCTCCAGTAAT